TCTTGTACAGACCATTTTAAAAAACTGGTTGCCTAGTAAAAAATTATACTGTATACAGTTAATATACTCTGACTAAACGCGTTAGAGAAGGAAATTTTGTTTTAACTATGAACTCATGCTTAATAACGACTGAGACCTAAAAGCGTAGCTTCTGGGCCGGGTTGTTCAAAGCCCGATTAAGCTAACCCAGAAAAAGGTAGAATTTTGATTTAAGTTTTGTAACTTTGCGGTGAGGTTTTCTTTATATTGTTTGGCCTTCTGTTTTGAGTTTTAATAATCACCCTCTACACAAAACAAAACAGCAAAAAACATAGATCCAATCGATAACCAACACTTGGTCAGCGGATACCTTGTTTTGAGAGGTGTCAATTGATCATAACATGGATGTCCAATATTAAGCAAGTACTCGGTAAACCAAGGCTGCATGTCTGTCAACCTATTATTTGGAGTATGGCCACCATGTTGGGCAACTCTGTCGCCGTCGTCGCTGTCGTGCGCTCGCGCCCACGAGCAATACCGCTAGCCATGATAACCATGAGAAAAACAACTCATGGGTTTCTTTTTCTTTCCTATATGAGTATGGGGTTCCGCTTGGCGGCCCTTCGGGCCGCCGGAGCTCCGCTATTAGATAACAATCTATAATTGAGAGCATTTTGTGAAAGGCTCTATATCAGTTGCACTTTTATTTACTCACTTGAAGGACAAGACCCTGGTTCCAACAAAAAGTCGTCTATTGCGATGTCACCCTGGTAATCACTGCCCCGTATTCCTTCAAATGTAACCTACAACCATTACAAGAGATGAAGAGATGAAGATAAGCATTTAAAGTGACAACAAAAAACATCTGAGTAGGAGCACGATGCTAGCTAAACAATTGCACGCTAATAACCAATTAAAGTAAACAAAATATGAAAATAGTTTATCCGGCTAGGGTAACGGATGCCATGGGAGTTGACTTGATGAAATGACAATAATTCATATTATTATACATTCAACTCACTATCTCTTTTCCGACTGGCCGAAAGTGTACAGTGAATTTTCGAAATCAGCGCCTGTGACGTCTTAACTGCAGATTATACAATAATTATGTCAAGGACACTTAAGGTTAAGGGTAGTCATGTCATGTATGACCGCCGTGCATGAATTCGAAGAGTAATCTTGTCAAATTCGCGCGCTTTGTGTTACTTCCCGGCAGTGAAGAAGCAAAAACACGAATTCCATTTTTTTCCGTTCAGTGTTTATTAAAACAATTATTGGATGAGGTTTTTGTGATATCCAGAATAATCAAGGTCTCGGTAAGGGGGTTATCAGCCTCGGTTTATCAGCCTCACCCTTCGGCTTCGGCCGATAACCCGCACCGAGACCTTGATTATTCTGGATATCACAAAAACCTCATCCACTAATTGTTTATTATTTATCTAAACGGAGGTACATAAACGTAAGACCTGAAAAAAATGTTTAGTTTTACAACTAGCAAAATTTCATAGTAAATAACGTTGCAAACGAATGTAAATTGTAGGTATAATCTAACGACATATAGGCTTGAGTCATGCATGTAAGTATTGCTATGATTATGCAAATATATCGTTCTCAAAAACAAAGAAAAAGCACCATGTGCTGTCGCTGACCTCGAGTACCATAAAAGACGACGCAAGGTTGTTACAATTGAAATAAACGAAGCACCCTCCAAAAGGCATGATAATATGTCTTACCGCATGCTTTCCTGATAAACTGACATCAATAGCCGCTCTTAGCCACGGTGAACACGTTGTTCCCATTAATTATGACATTTAGCGTCGCAATGTCTGCACCATACATATGGTAGTAGAACTTCAGACACATGCTCCCGCTGAATTGCAGCATGGGGCTGATTAGTTTTGCATTGTCACCTTGCTGTCGAGGACTTGATGTTTCAATGTACATATAGTATCCTGTAGGGATAGGCAAAGGGGAATTATTTACAACTTCATTTAAACGCGATGGAGGCTATTTAGCCTTTTATGCCCTTCAGTTGTGCAGTCGTGCCAATGCATATCTATACTCAATGAGTCAAGTAGTCAACGCTTAATTTGTTACAATTAAGGTATGTAGGTAGTAAAAGACTGGAATTTCTTCTTCAATTTTCGTGTTGCTGCAAACTCAATGTGTCAACTTCAATAACTTATTGTTATATTACCAATGAGAAAGAAGCTTTTTGAACTCTATTGAGTTTGAAAGATTATCCTACCTTATTTATGATCTAAAATCACACGACCGTTGTTATAACAATATTTCTATAACCTCAATCGATTCAGTTTTAGATCCTCTCCTTTGGGTATAAAACTTCCCCGTTACAATAAGTGACATCACTCTCTTTTGTCAAAAAAAAGTAAAGGAAGAAGATGCAATNATTCAGTTTTAGATCCTCTCCTTTGGGTATAAAACTCCCCCGTTACAATAAATGACATCACTCTCGTTTATTTAAAAGAAGTAAAGGAAGAAGATGCAATCAAGGAAACCTTTTCATACCATTTCCAGTAGTGTGGTCAACGGATGGTCCCGTAGCTCTAGACGGAGTACTTCCTTTACGTCGTGTCCAGTCAAACTTATCATTGCTATCCTGAGCAAATCCGCACATGGATGTATCGAAGTTGCATTTAAAGGCTGAAAATTAAAAAAAAATGGCGGTAATCCACAGTTTTGATCAGAAGCAAAGGCGACTCGGTGTTCGCATTTAAGATCTAATAAATAAATATCTTATAAATCAATCTTATAAATTGATCGACCACGTCTTTACTTTTTTCGGCCAAATGAAACAAACAGTGAATCAAATCAAATAAATGAACAAAATTGTGGATAACAATCCCAGCTGTTTGGAGGAATATACAAGCACGGCTGAGAGTCTCAAGAACAACAGCAGCTAGTGGTCAGCACGAGATATTAGCCTGCGACCTTTAGATTCAAGACCGTCGTCTTAACCACTGCGCCACGCTCAGCCTCCACAGAAATGACTGTCGTCATTAAGATCTAGTAAAATGCTTTGAAAGTTGCATCAGGTTATGATGGCCTACATTCGTCCTCTTTATGTTGTAAACTGCTGAAGCTTTTCTTGTTCGATCGAATGAGGTCTGAAATTTGGCCTTGAGAAAATCGATGTACTTTCGTATCCGTCATATAATTTCATTTTCATAAATATAAATTGAATATAGTAGATCAATTGATCTTTAGGCTTGGACTGATGAATGGTTTCATTATATTGTGTCACAGCAGAACTGTATCGCTGGCAGTTGGCATACTCCACATTTCTATAATACAAGGACCACACCAGTAATGATGTAGCAATTTCTTAGAAAGGCCTTTCTTAGCCCTCGGAGCGCCTTGTTAAAAGCTGAGTTCTTGGACTTCCAATCATTATAATTATGGTATGATCCGCCCTACTGAATATCAACCCGATCGAAAACAAGCCGACTCTAGGAAAGAGCTCACTATCTCTGAAAGAACCAAACAAACAAAACTAAGTCAGGGAAACATGATCAGTATTTTACGTACTTAATTTACGAGGATTGTGCGATGTGCTCGAATCAATGAGTGGGATCAAACCCAGCTCCAATTTTTCAACGATATACTCTAATAATAAGAGCGTGCAATTCCCTCACCCGTTACAACGCTTCCTAGCGGCAGCAGCAAAACCAGCAATATCATCTTGAGACAATCAAAGATGAATGAAAAGGTTCCTTGTTTCAGGGCCATATTTATGCCCATGCAGGCTTGAGAAATAAGACTCTGTCCATTAACAAATAACAAATATGACCTTGCGGGAACTTCCACTCAAATATTTCAATCCTAATGGAGGTGCACATATGCTACCATCTCACGGAAATGTTCTTTAAAATCAATAACTTTGGTAAACTCCATAATTGTCTCAATTAATTATATATTTATTTTAGGGGTGATTCCCTACACCAGGTAAAGAGACTTTGTTTGAACCAAAGAAATAATGATATCTTCCTTTTATAATGTTGAGCAACTAATTTAAAGATGACGAAGGGACCAGAAGTTTTAATCGATATCAGAAAAAGCAGTTTCTATAGGGGCCAATAAGGGAAATTATGAAGAGGCTTGCTGGTTACTAAAATCCTATACGTAAGTGGAGAATTTTTGAACCAAACTGTTTACTTTCCAAAAACCAGTTAACCGATGAGGCGTGGGTTAAAACAAGGCAAAAAGCAGACGTTTAGATGGCAACTCCTCGAGATCCATTAGGCCATTAAAGTAAAAAGGGAGTTTAATAACAAAGCGTGCGACGTGTGCAGTTTCATTTTAACTGCAGAATTTCCGTCGAGTTTAGCTGCGAGTTTCTTTTGCTAAACTTTCGGCAACGTGAACATCATTCTGAATAATCCAACCCCTACTTCAAGCATTGGACTTTTGTCAGGCTAAGATGTTTGCTAAAACTGGATTATTTTGAACGAACCTATTTTGGTCAAAACTAAAGAGCAAGCATTTAATTAGGTTTAAGGAACCATAGCAACAGCTGGGGAAATATTAGTAGAACTTTATATTCAATTAAATTCAATCCGTGCGATAATTCATTTTTGTCTAATTGTGCAAGCAGCTGTGCAGTCAATGTCGAGGCCTTGTTTGTTCATTTAGACCTCCGATGCATACAGTGAGTATTTTCAGTCATGATTTCCGTAAAATTTTCAGAGAATAAAATTGTTATTATTTTTTATACAGTAATTGTTTTGGAGAATAAATTTAGTTCCATATCGTCGCTAAAGAGTTTGAATAACAAGTATAATTTCTGCCTTCGTAACAAATATAATGTCTTTTATCGAAGCACTGTTTAGGTTGAGAATTTGTTTATTTCGCTACGTATTTTGTCGGCGGGAATCTAGCAAAACTTGTTATTTTAGTACAGTTTTAACACTACTGTTGCTAACAATGGTCTCTGTGAGCCATATTCACTGCAGACAAATAGCTTGTTTCCACTGCGTTTGTCTGAGTCACAGAGGATGTTTAATTTGGGTCAAATTTGTCAAAATTCCGAAGCAAAAATTTGAAAGCCAACCCATGCTCTGTTCTCTGATAAAGCACGCTGTTTCAGCCAGTCAGAGTGCGCGTTATATGGAAACTCTATTATAATAGGATTTAAGATCCAGTACTGGATGTAGCCAAAACTATTTTCCCCTTCCTCTGGGGATATTTATGTATTCTTTGGCTTTTAGTTCTCAACAAGTGAACGAGCAGATAAAAGCTGATGGGCTGGAAAAATGGCACAAAGATAGCAACTCGGTACGTTGTGCGTGCACCAAGGCAAAAGTGTCTTCCTCTTTGGCATTTTGAATACAAACGATCCCATCAAACGGCGCCGTGTTTATGTTGCCTTTGAACCACCGTTGTCGCGTAAAATAAGCCAGAGGAATTGAGATTCCAGTTTTAGCAAGTCTAGTTTATTCCAATTGAGCACCTGTAGAAGGATATCGTCTATAGGCTTGGAATGTGCATGAATCAATGTATTTTGAATGTGGAGCTCCGATTTAACGCTAACCTAAATCGATCTATATATTTTTACACATGCTAATCGGACAGTCAACTCTTACAGCATTGAATCAGAGCTTTGTAGCTAGTTCGAAACTGAGAATGTTTACTCGCGTGAGATTTTATCTTTATAACTAGACGCTCTATGAGCATTTACTCGGGCTCCGCACCACAATATCAAATCGTATTTTACAAGTAAACTTGTTGAACACAATAAAAACAAATAAAAGAATCAAAACATTTAACACGAGAGTTAAGCTTAGATATTTACAATTCAAGCTGCTTTGTTATCCTCTATATCTAATACTGCATGTTGTTTGCCACATCTCTGAACTGTCCTGAGTTTTGTTTACGACGATTCTTGATTTTTTCAACATCTCAGGCGTTCGACTCAGCATCATATAGTTTTCAGTGTTTTCGTAGTCTGAATTCGTGCATGGCTCATTTGTTATCTCGCGAGAATTGCGCATTTGGCAGGCGTTTAAGCGATATAATTCGTGGAGCGACCCGTTCCGAAAACGATCGACATCTTTGTTTGTGAGATGAACGCACAAGGCGCAAATTTTACCCAAACGTTCTTCACAAAACACGGCATTCTATACATTACGTTGTTGGCGAAGAGCAACCAAACATTAAGCAAGTTGTCACATCCGCCGTTTTCACGCTCTACGCTAGGAACGCTTGGGACCATGATCCCCCTTTGGCTACCAACAGAAAACGACTTGCATTATATTTTATGAGTCAGGATTTCCTACGGAAGCCCGAGTTATTAACTTGGTGCAATAGGTCAAAATTGTGTTAATATATTTTTTATTCATATAGAAGTCAACTTACGAGGAAGTCTTACTTTGACAACGAGAAAGTGCATGCATATAACTGGAGAATATACTTGTACAGGAAAAGAAGAGATTCAAATAATTAATGAAGCGTGCAAAAGTAATAAAGATAAAAAAAAAAGGCTTAAAAGTAGGAAACTAAGACGTCAGTATTTACCTAACAATTTACAAATGAGCTGAACATTATATCGGTCCACGTTGTACTTAAGCTTAGCAATCTCAGTTATAACGGGCATTAGTTAAGGAGTCCTATCGGAGAATCAATGTCTAACTTTCATTATATTTATAAAAAATCGTAAACAGCGAGCAAGTACTATATATTGAGTTAAAAAAGACACTTTTGAGCGTGCGAAAAGCCGTGCACTTACCTCCTATTGAAGAAAACCACCTCCTTCTTAACTTGGAAAATATTTATATTTTCCGGCTTGTAGTAGTGGGACGATTTCACTCCTTCACTCCTTCATTGGGTCACTTCCTGTTGGACATTTGGAATCCTTGGGGGGAACTCCCATATGAGGAGGTCAGGGATGCTCGTCGGAAAATTTGAATTCGACTCCTAAAGAAGACTAATGTGGGCCTTACTCAAGCTTCATAAGACTCCTAAAACATACCACTTAAAACGGAATGGGTTCGATTACTAGCCACTGTTCAAGAAAGGATCCCGTGGGCACTTGTAGACCCGACTTGCGTACTCGATGGAGAGATCAACACACAAGAGAATTGAGGAGAATTCGAACGACGCGTTTCGCTATTATTTATACAGTATTGTAAATAAAAACTTCAAAGATGAATATGGACATTGCGAAGTGATTTGAACAAAATAGTTGATAAATAGAAAAAAAGACATTAATTACACAAGACTGGAAGTTCAGTAGTCACTAATATCGCCTTGGAAAGGGAAGGAAAACAAGAGAAAAAAAAACTTATTACAACACGGGGTATACGAAATTGCTAAGCCATCCAAGCATGCAGAACCCCCCCGATCGGACAAGAAGTCGTACTTTAATTAATTGTCTCGGACGAGGATCACCAATAACTTCATGAATGTTTTCAACGGTGTTACATCTCCTCGTGTATCCTCTAAACGTTGCGTTTTGCCAGTAGAATTACAATTTAACTTAACGTACGGATTGAAACCTCAAGTCAGTGGCACCGAAATCGTCACTGTTTACAGACGAACATTTGAGTGGCTCATAGCCACTTTGATTGGCAAATGGTGCATAAGAGAGCTCTTGGAGCAGCCCAAAAGAAGCTTAGACGTGCTCGCTGCAGCGTTTGTTTTATTACAGAACATAGCCAAAATGCAAAAAGTGCAAACAGAGCCAAAGCATAAAGAACTGAATCCGGTTAAATCATATTTACGCTGAATGAAACCTTTGCCAAATAACAGCAAAGGCTAAATAAGTGCGTTGTGCTATATACTTAATTGGGTTACGCTTTGTTGTTTAGAAGTTCTTTGTAAATAAAATAAAAACTTTATTAAAGATATTTTGAAACTGAAAACGATCAAAAACTTACGTTGAAACTTCCAGACAAAATGGCGTTTTGTTGTAGTTATTTCAGAGGGTGCTACCTTCACTGAAGTGGAAGTTTAGAAAAATGCATTATCAAGAGTAGTTCGTAATCTGCTGAACATGCAAAATGGAATGGGTTCGTGTTTTGACGATGCCAGCTGAATTTACCAGTTCTACTGTATATTTTGCGCCATTTTCGGTAATTGTATATATTGTTAAATATTCCAGATATAATTTTTATGAACTAAATTATTTTCAGATGAAAATCCGCAATTTCAAAGTCTTAGACTTAGCAATGTTTTTTACTTGTAAATTTGAACACCACAATTCAAGCAGCAATTTTTAAATTAAGCTCGCTACAGTTTGTCGATAGCAAGAAAATATCTAAAGGTAAATGAAGATGGTTCTTTTATGGCCTACATTAATTTAGAATGTAATAAATATCACTGTTTTACTTTCAGTCGATCTCCTTCGGCTCAGTGTTTTAATGGACAGATTTAATTTGCTACATCCATGACCGTGACCCTGTTGGGGTATCTGAAATTAATTAACATATATTTTTACGCTTTTGTTCCTCCGCTTTCTCCTTAGCCTTAGTTTCGATTGATAATATATACCAAACGGTACAAGCAGTGTTTGACCACATTTCCAAACACCTCGAAGGTCGTCAAAAATACTACGCTGGGCGAAGTGTTTTCAACTCTCCTCTCAGTGTTTGGAAGCGTGGTCAAACACGGTCTTTCGTGATTGAGGTGTTACGTGTAGCATTGGCACACATTTTCACGCACCTATACAAACAACTCTCGTCTTATCTTCATGATCACGAATCGGATTCAATCAACAGTTAAAGGAAACGATTGCTTTTCCTTTACAAATTAAAGTCAGAAACAGCTAAGAAAATACAAAAGGGGACAATAAATTTGCATTAATAATATCTTAAAATAAAATTCAATTATTTCAGTTGGTTTCGCTGGCTCGACCATACCAAGGCTTCTTACCTGGTGTGTTGTATCAGAGAAAGGGTTTTCACACCCAACGTAGACTTTAGAAAACCTTTAATAGGAACATTACAGAACAGTTCCGTGACTAGCTTAAGTGAACATCGATTAGGAAAGTAAATATTGTATTTGCGCCCGTGTTTCGGCACTGTCAATGTTGTTTGCTTAGAGATCTAGACCGATTAATGTTTTAATGAAGGCGAGTCTTATTCAACGAGCTAGACGTTCACAGCAACCAAAATACAGACCTGAGAATCCGTGGTGATGTAGAACTTTTAGTCCTTCAACAACACTCCACTGTAATTAAATCCATGTCATTGACCGTTTCTGTGGGTTAACTTTCGCACAAATATGTTATCTTTGAAAGTTATATCCGAAAGCGTGAGAGTTCGTTTATTTAGCATTTTCTTACCCGCTCTGCTTTGCTCTGGTTCTAAAAATGTCGCAAGGGAGGATTTTTACAATGGTGGAAAATCGTTTTAATTTCAGCTTCACTAAAAGTTCTCCGATTCAACAAACTTTATAATTTGAGCGCCAGGAAATTCTATATTCGATGCAAAATGTTGCTTTTCAAGTTTGAGACGTAACGGCCCATTCACTGAATGCTATGAGTCTCTGAGACAGGTATGAAGAAAAGAAATGCTGGGTCTGTAATGGTGGATCAACGTGGACTCACTAAATTCGATGTGTTGTAACGAAAGGGTGCGCGAAAAAAGCGGCAATCCCCTACTCTCTTTATTTATTTTATTTATTTTAAGGACATTTTAAGAATAAACCCAAGGCAGAGAATATAATTTTGTGTGTTAAAAATTTGTAAATACAGTACAATTATATGTATCTAACTTGACCGTATAAAATTCTTCATTTCTCTAAACGGCAAAACTGGCCAGAAAGCAACAAAAAACAGCATTAGCATTATGTTCGATGCTATTAATATTCCGGCAACACGTTATGTGCGTGACATCAGGCTTTAAGTCTTAAAATACCTGGAGACTGACTCCAAAATTACTTAAACACCACCCAGACACCAAATACATTGGTAAACAGATATGTCATACGCTATAATCGGAAAATATTCACAAGAATATTTTCCTACTAAAACAGTCAGAAAAATAAAAATATTCTGCCTCGGCCGGAAAAAACAATATTCTCATGAAAAAGGGTGTATCATTTCTCGTACCATTACTGATTGGAAATTATTATACAAGTGAAAACATTGCATATTGATTTTATAGCGGAACGACAAAAATAAAATGCGTCCAAATTGCCATTTAACTTGCTAGAGAAAAGACTATTACAAGTTTTTTATTATCATACTGATGGATAGCGAAAACTGCCCATTTTGGCGTTATTCCCTGATAACGATTTTGACATTTTGTTTTTATTGACGAGGAAGTTTAACTGGAACACAAATAATAATTTACTGAACTTTATTTGATGATATTGGCAAATAACTGGAATTAAGTTAAGCTTATAAGCAATAAATTACTATTATTACGGTAAATTTCGATGAAAACTTTGAAAGGGACGAGCAAGCTGACCGTCGCTTCACCCTGGAGTTGACACGATCGTTATGTTATTTAGTTTTGGCTCTGTAACTCGGAGTAGCACACGCGCGGTTCGACCATGATGAAGATGGGAGTTTCATGGGACAACACCTAGCTGATATCAACGAAATATTTTCTTTCTCCGTACAATGGCGTGCTTAGGAGCTGCTTTCTGTAGCCATTCTTTTTCGCGGGTTTGCCGCGGGCTTCCGTTGAAGTCCTCAGTTCTACTGCAATTTAGGGCAACTCAGTGCATGGAGTATAACGTCAAAAAAGAGGTAAATACTTAAATTTTCATGCCATGCACATAAATCAAATGTACACGATTCTCAAATGAAAGAGCATGTGAATTTCTACGGGTTTTTTTGCGGCAGGGTTAAGTTGGCCATTTGTATTTCCGTTGCATTTCCATGTTTCCATTTGCAGGAAAAAGATTACAAGGACAAAGCAACAGTGAAACAAGAAATGGCTTGTACAACCTGATGTAGATTTTAAAAACTTTCCAAGGAAAAAGGAAAACAGGGTGTGGAAATGGGATGATGTTTTAACGATATAGGTGCATGTAATGTAACACTAGTTGATAAATGGTGAACACATCAGTTTTTCAATTCACAGTTAAAAGCTAACGATCAAAATTGTGGGGAAAACAGAAAAGCAATACATGTGTATATATGCCCAAAATTTCAGCAACTTCCTGGCAAATATTAATGACTGCCTAGAGAGTCTTAGAGTTAAGGAATTTTAAAAGCCAAGAATTGAGATAGTGGATCAACTTGGATGAGCCAGAAAGGATATTATATAACACATACCCAGATTCAACTCACATCTCAAAATTTAAATTTAAATAAATACTAATCATGCTATACATCCTAAAAATACTCAGGCATACAGAGATGCCAGAAATTCATGGATGAACCAGAAAGGATATTTAACAAATACCTAGATATTTTAACTTACATCTCAAAAATTAAATACTAAACATGTTATAAATCCCAGAAATACTCAGGCATACACTGATGTCAGGAATTCAACCTGGATGAATCAGAAAGGATATATAATACATACATATCTGCATTGTAAATACTTAAACTCACATCTCAAAAATTAAATAATAATCATGGTATATATTATAAAATATCCCAGAAATACTCGGGCTTACAATGATGCCAGGACTTTAACCTGGAAGAGCCAGAAACGTATATGGCATTTGCCTATCATAATATGAAGGATGACAATACTCAAGGAGACGATCGCGAGTAACACAAACGACACCAAACTAAACGATACCATATGCTTTCTATGCCTGCTCCCAGGGATTCTTGGAAAGCCTACTTCATTTTATCTCCCTCTTTCTGTATCAAAAAAGATCAGGAGCGAACAAGTAACAGATATAAGTAAGTAAGTAACTTTATTTCAACTCGGGTTGAAACAAAATTTTGAATTAAAATCATACAAAGCTGACTTGAACATGAAAAAGCGTGGTCTTTGAAAACCTTGCGCATGGGCCTTGAAAACCTCGCGCACTTTCCGAGCAGGGACTACTGTCTCGAGATCTCGGGTATTCCTCCCAGCGAAAATTGCACCAGCAACGACATCGTTATTGCCGTCGGTCGAATCATCGACGTCCCCATTAAAGAAGAGGATATATCTACCTCCCCCCTCTACCGTCCCACAACTCGGATACTCCACCGAGAATCATAGTGAAATTCACTCGGCGTGATGCAGGGAATGCCTTCTACCCAAATCGCCGAAAGTTAATCAACAAGAAGACGAACAAACTCCCTGGGCTTGGTTTGGAAGAGGAGGAGAAGATCTATATATCTGAGTCATTAACAAGGTATAAAAAACATCTTTTTGGGAATGTTAACAATCTAAAGATGTTAATAATCTAAAGAAGAGGCTAAGATGGAAGCATATGTGGACGCAGAACAGCCGTATCTTTCTTAAAGAAGCGGAAAGGTCCAAACCTGTAGTGATTTACACACATGAACAGTTGGCAGACTTTGAGCGAAGTCTTCGTCACTGACTAATGCACAGCCTCCAATGGAAACTGATCATTTGGTTTCTTACAAAGATAAGTAGACTCCGTGCTATATCACATAGCCGTATACATCTTAAACTAGACCTTAAGTATAAGTAGCAGACCATTTCCTTATGTCAGGTCATAATGGTGATAACAATATAATTTATTCATTTCCTTTTTAAGATCTGGACCAAATCGATTTTCTTAAAACCACATGTTCTTGGATCTATCATTCAACTGATCGGCTTTCTAAAAAAATATCGATCTATATCGGGATATTATTGAATCCCCCGACAGAGATGATGCATTGAAACGCTCGCATGAGGACTATATCGAATCGAAATATTATACGATAAATAAATCTACAGACTGTTTAATGATGCCGCGAAGCGAAACGGATTTTCAGTTTTACACTGCAACATTCGTAGCCTGGGGAAAACATATCCTTATTGCATGATATCCTACAAACAGTTGAAACTCAACCGGATATTATTGCAATTTCCGAAAGTAAAATGAGGGAAAATACAAATTTAAACATACCAGGGTATGGTTTTGTAAATACTAATTCAAAAACGCAGGCAGGAGGCGTCGGCCTATATCTCTCCAGTGATTTAGAATTTACGAGGAGGCGTGAACTGGATATTTCATCTGATGGAATTGAATCGTGCTGGGTAGATCTTGAACGCCGTAAACAAAAAAACCTGATAATAGGCTGAACTTATAGACATCCTAAATTTCTTCAATTAATGGCTTTGGTTTACTTCGAACTCTGGTTGGATAACACTTTGGAACTTGAGCTTTAGCGGGTTCTTCTGTAGCTTTGACGGGTTCTTCTGTTCTGGACACTTTAGGCATCTGCGATTGTGGCACAGCAGACAAATCGGGCTCCTCTGGTGCGGAGACTGGTACCAAATGTTGCGAACCATGAGGACTTGGCGGGACGACATGAGTCGAATCTGCTTGTGAGTCTGGTGATTCAATCTGCGGTTGTTCAGGTTGACGCAAAGGCATTACTTNAAAAATAAAAATATTCTGCCTCGGCCGGAAAAAACAATATTCTCATGAAAAAGGGTGTATCATTTCTCGTACCATTACTGATTGGAAATTATTATACAAGTGAAAACATTGCATATTGATTTTATAGCGGAACGACAAAAATAAAATGCGTCCAAATTGCCATTTAACTTGCTAGAGAAAAGACTATTACAAGTTTTTTATTATCATACTGATGGATAGCGAAAACTGCCCATTTTGGCGTTATTCCCTGATAACGATTTTGACATTTTGTTTTTATTGACGAGGAAGTTTAACTGGAACACAAATAATAATTTACTGAACTTTATTTGATGATATTGGCAAATAACTGGAATTAAGTTAAGCTTATAAGCAATAAATTACTATTATTACGGTAAATTTCGATGAAAACTTTGAAAGGGACGAGCAAGCTGACCGTCGCTTCACCCTGGAGTTGACACGATCGTTATGTTATTTAGTTTTGGCTCTGTAACTCGGAGTAGCACACGCGCGGTTCGACCATGATGAAGATGGGAGTTTCATGGGACAACACCTAGCTGATATCAACGAAATATTTTCTTTCTCCGTACAATGGCGTGCTTAGGAGCTGCTTTCTGTAGCCATTCTTTTTCGCGGGTTTGCCGCGGGCTTCCGTTGAAGTCCTCAGTTCTACTGCAATTTAGGGCAACTCAGTGCATGGAGTATAACGTCAAAAAAGAGGTAAATACTTAAATTTTCATGCCATGCACATAAATCAAATGTACACGATTCTCAAATGAAAGAGCATGTGAATTTCTACGGGTTTTTTTGCGGCAGGGTTAAGTTGGCCATTTGTATTTCCGTTGCATTTCCATGTTTCCATTTGCAGGAAAAAGATTACAAGGACAAAGCAACAGTGAAACAAGAAATGGCTTGTACAACCTGATGTAGATTTTAAAAACTTTCCAAGGAAAAAGGAAAACAGGGTGTGGAAATGGGATGATGTTTTAACGATATAGGTGCATGTAATGTAACACTAGTTGATAAATGGTGAACACATCAGTTTTTCAATTCACAGTTAAAAGCTAACGATCAAAATTGTGGGGAAAACAGAAAAGCAATACATGTGTATATATGCCCAAAATTTCAGCAACTTCCTGGCAAATATTAATGACTGCCTAGAGAGTCTTAGAGTTAAGGAATTTTAAAAGCCAAGAATTGAGATAGTGGATCAACTTGGATGAGCCAGAAAGGATATTATATAACACATACCCAGATTCAACTCACATCTCAAAATTTAAATTTAAATAAATACTAATCATGCTATACATCCTAAAAATACTCAGGCATACAGAGATGCCAGAAATTCATGGATGAACCAGAAAGGATATTTAACAAATACCTAGATATTTTAACTTACATCTCAAAAATTAAATACTAAACATGTTATAAATCCCAGAAATACTCAGGCATACACTGATGTCAGGAATTCAACCTGGATGAATCAGAAAGGATATATAATACATACATATCTGCATTGTAAATACTTAAACTCACATCTCAAAAATTAAATAATAATCATGGTATATATTATAAAATATCCCAGAAATACTCGGGCTTACAATGATGCCAGGACTTTAACCTGGAAGAGCCAGAAACGTATATGGCATTTGCCTATCATAATATGAAGGATGACAATACTCAAGGAGACGATCGCGAGTAACACAAACGACACCAAACTAAACGATACCATATGCTTTCTATGCCTGCTCCCAGGGATTCTTGGAAAGCCTACTTCATTTTATCTCCCTCTTTCTGTATCAAAAAAGATCAGGAGCGAACAAGTAACAGATATAAGTAAGTAAGTAACTTTATTTCAACTCGGGTTGAAACAAAATTTTGAATTAAAATCATACAAAGCTGACTTGAACATGAAAAAGCGTGGTCTTTGAAAACCTTGCGCATGGGCCTTGAAAACCTCGCGCACTTTCCGAGCAGGGACTACTGTCTCGAGATCTCGGGTATTCCTCCCAGCGAAAATTGCACCAGCAACGACATCGTTATTGCCGTCGGTCGAATCATCGACGTCCCCATTAAAGAAGAGGATATATCTACCTCCCCCCTCTACCGTCCCACAACTCGGATACTCCACCGAGAATCATAGTGAAATTCACTCGGCGTGATGCAGGGAATGCCTTCTACCCAAATCGCCGAAAGTTAATCAACAAGAAGACGAACAAACTCCCTGGGCTTGGTTTGGAAGAGGAGGAGAAGATCTATATATCTGAGTCATTAACAAGGTATAAAAAACATCTTTTTGGGAATGTTAACAATCTAAAGATGTTAATAATCTAAAGAAGAGGCTAAGATGGAAGCATATGTGGACGCAGAACAGCCGTATCTTTCTTAAAGAAGCGGAAAGGTCCAAACCTGTAGTGATTTACACACATGAACAGTTGGCAGACTTTGAGCGAAGTCTTCGTCACTGACTAATGCACAGCCTCCAATGGAAACTGATCATTTGGTTTCTAACAAAGATAAGTAGACTCCGTGCTATATCACATAGCCGTATACATCTTAAACTAGACCTTAAGTATAAGTAGCAGACCATTTCCTTATGTCAGGTCATAATGGTGATAACAATATAATTTATTCATTTCCTTTTTAAGATCTGGACCAAATCGATTTTCTTAAAACCACATGTTCTTGGATCTATCATTCAACTGATCGGCTTTCTAAAAAAATATCGATCTATATCGGGATATTATTGAATCCCCCGACAGAGATGATGCATTGAAACGCTCGCATGAGGACTATATCGAATCGAAATATTATACGATAAATAAATCTACAGACTGTTTAATGATGCCGCGAAGCGAAACGGATTTTCAGTTTTACACTGCAACATTCGTAGCCTGGGGAAAACATATCCTTATTGCATGATATCCTACAAACAGTTGAAACTCAACCGGATATTATTGCAATTTCCGAAAGTAAAATGAGGGAAAATACAAATTTAAACATACCAGGGTATGGTTTTGTAAATACTAATTCAAAAACGCAGGCAGGAGGCGTCGGCCTATATCTCTCCAGTGATTTAGAATTTACGAGGAGGCGTGAACTGGATATTTCATCTGATGGAATTGAATCGTGCTGGGTAGATCTTGAACG